TTTTTTTTTTTTGGTACTGGGGATTGAACTAAGAACCCTGCACTTGCCAGGGAGGCTTTTATTCTACTGAGCTATCTCCCCAGCCCCAAAAGGAGTCTTAGCTAAAATAAAAATGAGCAAAATAAAACTCAGAAGGCTATAACGCAAGCAATGATTTACAGAGTGCAGGCACTCCTCTGTGTTGCTGTGGCCCACTCAAGATCATAACGAATTTAGGTGTGGACTCTGAAGTGGTTATGCTTGCTGTTAGGGAGAAATGGTGACTTATTCTTAGATTAGAAAGTTTAGAAATGAAAAGGACATGACCAGTGGCTTCCAAGTAAATATTTCCATTTTAAAAGAAAGAAGTCTCTTTACTCAAAAATACCTTTGAATGGTTAAGAAATACTCTCTCATCCTTATTTGTATTAATGAATTAACTTCCTTTCAGAAATCTTAGAAACCACTGAAACTAATAATGCAATATATCAGAATAAACCTTAAACAACATTTGGAGAAATTTTTATGTTTCCTAATTTTATTTTGTAATAACAGAAATAATAATATTAGTGAAACACTTAAGTTTCGTAAACTAAACGTGCAATAATATTTCTTGATACTCAATAAATCTTCTATGCAAAAATATCATAAATATATTTACCTTATTAAAAACCTTCTGAAGTGATTTTAAATAAATATATCAAATTCCTTCCATGTACAATTGTCAGAATTCTTTGATTTAAATTGTTAGGCTGTTGGGTTTTATGAACTGTTTTTTTGTACAAGTACCTTCTCCAAGTGGACATTTTCATTATATTTTTCTGACTTGGAGACTTTAACCATGGTTAACTGCACAATCCCTAATTTTATGCAATCTGATAGCTATACCTGGCAATCAGATTGCCTCTATAAAGGGAATCATGAAAACTCTTTTTCTGAGTAGTCACATTTTTCTTCCTTACCCACTTCATTGTAGAACTAAATCATGTCTGATTAAGCAGAAAATGTCTTGCTTTAGGAATCCTACTTTGTAAATGCTGCTAGTATGAAATGCAAGACTTCATTAAATATTATAGTAAAAAATACATTCTGCCCAGAAACAAAGTTTTAACACTAAATGACAGTGAGTTGGAGAAAACCTCCTCACAGTTGATCAACACCTAAGTCTACTGTGTAAGTCTTGGATGACAAAGTCAGAAGATTTGGTCATTGAATGATTTTTATGGTCCTTACACAGAGAATTTTCTGGTTTAAGTCTAACAAAGAAGGCTTCTTTCCTTCATCAGAACACCATTAAAATCTTCTGACAGGTAAACAGAAACCACTGTTTAGAAATCAGCCCCAATTAAGAGATTCGAGGCACACAACGCTTTCTGGTCTTGCAGCTTGAAAACTGGGAAGGGCTTCCCAAATAAGGCAGAGTACTTAGAGAACTGAAGCACTTCTCTCCTTCTAGCTGAAAGGCCATTATTGAGTGCAGTCAACTTTGGTACTGGAAACTATTTTGTAGTCTAGGACAAGGGGGTCTTCAATCACTCCCTTTGCTACATTTCTATGCTTTCTCTGTGATGGTGGTGGATATGCTGTGATAATATCAAAGGGGCTGGTTAGGATGAGATCATTTCAGTGCTTTTCTGTACTTTCCATGGAAAACTGTGTCAAATACTAACATCCAAATCAGAAATTCTTGCTCCAAAGACTTGCAAAACATGACTTTTCAACTGTTCTTTTTAGAATCTAAGAAAAAAAAAATCAAGGTAATTACCAAACTGCAGTATGTGTCATTACTGGAATTAAAGAGATTTTAGTTTTCAAAGAAATAAAACTGTTTTACTAACAGAAAAAAATAAATTTAAAAAAAGCAAAATATCCAATCAGTATTTAATCATGTCAAAATGTCTAAAACTGCCAAGAGATAAACCTAAATCTAAACTCTGTTAAATGGAATGGACTAGGAAGATGTTGGAAGTGTCTCATTTTCTGTTCACACAGAAATATTTAAAGAACATACACTTGTAAGTTTTCATCTGGTTTGAAGAAAACATTTCAGAATTATATCTCACCTAACAGGATATTATCACTAAATATTAACAGCAACTACTCAAAGTGAAGACATCAATTTTAACCCATGATTTAAAAACACTATTTTCCTTATTTTGCACTCTTATTCCATATTTCTCAGGTACCTCTAAGTCTTCAAGCATTGGGGGGGGGATATTTTTTAAAATTAATATTCAATGATAAGTATAGTAATGATTTAAAGCCCAAAAGAACCCCACTAATACCAAATAAAAAGTCATTTTTCCAAATGAAATCTAAAGTTGAAGTTGAAGGACTTGTTTGAAAAAGTGGAAAATAATGACAATGACTCAGCTTCAGATACAATGATTAAGTAAAAGACACGTGTTATGGCTTGTGTCCAGACATTCCCTGAAAGCCTCATGCAGTCATGCGCAGGGCTTTTTCACGGTAGTTGGATCTACAGTGTGATGCTAGGACTGATATACATGCAGCGCTAGCACTCAGGATATGACTGTTACCTGCCTGAACCTGCTTGATAAGATACAAGGAATAGAAGGAGCTATGGTCCTCCGTTGTTGCCTTGCTATCTTTTGCCTGCCATAAGCTATTTCTCCTCTGCCATGTCCCTCTGCTTTGGATGTGCTGTCTTGCCTTGGGCCTAACCAATTATGAACTGAAACCTCTACAAACTGTGAGCTAAGTAAACCTTTCCCTTTTAACTTTGGGTGTCGGGATATTTTGTCTCAGCAATCAGAGAAAAGTAGCTAAGTAGCCAAGCAGCTGTGTTCCAACTGCTGGTACAGGACAGTCTGAATGCTGGGCTATGATCTGTTAGCCATAGAATCAGCTACTACAACACAGCGTTGGTGTATTATGAGAGACTCAGTCAGTACTGGTCCCTGGAACCTTTAGAATCACTCCTGAGCATTATAAAAAAGCTGTGGTATTGAATTTTCTATGTAAGATGAGGCAACACCCTACAAGAAGATACCATTATTATGCATTATTAGTTACGTAAGCTCAGCGTTTTTAGAAAGTTTACATATAACTGCCTCAGGACTTACGTCTTTTTCTGATGATGAGAGAAGAAAAATGTTATTTTAGGGATCATAAAAATATCCAACAACAACAAAAGAACAACTCTAAAAATCCTGCCCGTCTTAAAACTGAGTAAAAATTTTGGAAAATAATTTTAAGTTGTCATTATAGCACAAGTCATATAAAATTGCTTTCATATTTAAATATATTTGGAATAAACCAAACCCAGTTTGTCGAGTATGATTCTGATTACATTATCTGACAATGAAGAATATTATTTCCTCATTAATATATTATTTGAGCCACCCAACACTGTGATTTCTGTTGTTGCCCTGTCCTTTTCTTCCATACAAATCCTGTGTATATTTTCAGGCCTGTATTGTCAGTTCTTTCTTTCTTGCAGGGTCTGTACAATATTGTTCAACCGAAAATGTTGTAATATTATGTTCTAGACTCATTGTTACATATTATCTTAAGATTACAAATAACTTCAAAGTTGAAGTCAGATCCTCCACATCTCATCCATTGCCCTAGTACAAAACTAAAAACATAAGAGGCATAAAAATAATAAGAATCACCAGTGTGTCATACACTTAAATGAAGATATCACCAAAAGAGTGATATCATATCTCATTCTAAAATGCTCTGGCAGAAAGAATTGCTTCTAGATTTATTGAAAAGTTCATAGGCAAAAAAAGAAAATGATTTTCAGTAAAATCTTATTGTTGACATTTGATTTTTATATTGTATATTTTCTAATTATTACTTAATTAAACTTCTTAAAATATTATCTAGAATCATGTAACTTAGTTTTTTACAATAAAAGGATGAACATGATGTATTTAGAAATGAATATCCTGAAAAATTGAAGAGGCATTTATTTACCAGGTTTGGTTCTTGGAGGTTTGGGTCTGGGACGCCGTTTAGGTGTGGAAGGGATAGATGTAATTTGCTGAGGAGCTGAAAGAAGAAGATTTAATAAATCTTTGTAGATGACATTTTCAGGGGTCAATCAGATGGTGCCTATAAACTTACAAACTTCTCAAGGGAAAGAACTATTTTATTTTTCTTTGTTCTCCAAGAATTTTCAACACTGTGTTTTAAATACAGCATACAAAAATAAGTGTTGGCTGGGCCAAAAGGAATTCAATTTCTACAAAAGACTTGAAGATACATTGTTCGATGAAATGTACTAGAAAAGGATCACCTTTGAAGTATTTCAGAATACAAGATACAATGAATAATTCTAAAGGCTAACATTAACTAGCAAAGGCACAGCACTAATAAGATATGTTTGAAAGTTCAGAAGTTATTAAACTGTTCCTCAACTAATTTTGTATTATAAAATACTAATTGTGCTGTTTCTCTTTTCCAAATCTTTCTTCATCATGTTCAGGGTTGTTAAGTTTACCTGACACAATTTTACTTACACTACTCTGAGGGAATACAATTCATCAAATCATATCCAAATGTGTTCAATCAAAGGGATTGTATTTCAAAATAATTATCATTTATAATCCTGCTATTTGCTGGTTGACAAAGTTGAAAGAAATATAGAAAGGAATTATTCTTCAAAATATGTAGACCACAATAAATAGAAATCAAGATTATAGAAAATCTTTAAGGATTTTCTCAGGGCTAAGTAGACTAGATAGCTCATTTCTTTAAAGAATATCTTGGTAGAGAAGGAGAGGAAATATTTAATACTAAAATTGGTTTGAAAAAGACAATATGACTAATTGTTTTTGTCATTTTACCTCTTCTTTCAAAGCACAAAATTATACAAATGCCATTAGTTACCCTGTGTTGTAGGTTGTGTTGCAGGACGGGTAAAAGTATCCACTTGTTGAGGAATAAATGGTGCTTCACTTGGAGCTGAAAGCACAAACATCCCAACCCACCAGATAACACCAGTTAAATTGAGATTCTTTAAGAATTTTAACATGCTTTTAGATGGTACAATGCAAATCCTACAAGGATATGATTAAAGGTGAAAGCGTATTTGCCTTGAAAGCTGATGGATACAGTTAAGATTTAAAGTGGAGAAAAAGCTACAATGATCAATGTTCAGTAGCTAACTCCAGGCAGATTCAGCACATGGAAGTGAGGTAATGCAGGCCACAGACACATGAGATGACATGGTGTGAATGACGAAGATGTTCATGCAGTTTTCAAAACTTTTCACAGGTTTAAGGGTGAAGACAATACCATCTATTATAGTTCAGTGAGAGAGAAACACATGCACACACACATGTTCATGCACCAAATGGAATATAAAAGACGCCTGCATAAAGACTCATACACATACACACGGGAACAGAAAGTATGTAAATGATTAGATGTGATGGGATGAAGTGCTCATTCAAGGAAAGTCGGTCACATGGATTATGGATTTTTGTTTGATGGAAAACCAAGAATAATTTTTCTGTTAGAAACATTACCCAGTGTTGCCCTTGGCTGTTGAGGAGTTCTAGGAGTTTTAGGTGGGATAGAATCCAGAATAGGATCACTTGTTGCTGTTGGAATAAATGTCAACATTTATAAAGGAGGCCCCAGGAATAAAATACGAATTCATGAGTAATTATGCCTTGTGTGAGGAAAAACATCAAGAACACTTGGGGGACTGCTGACCAATGTTTTAAATCAATGATTCATTAGGAGTTGCAGATGAACTCACTTTTAAAAACAGGCTTACTTTAAATACAGAAAACACATTAGTGTTTCATGCATTCAACTTTTTAAAGTCTGGCTTTTCTAGTTTTTCTTTTTCATAATTAGCTTACCATTATGAGCATTTCATTTAAATTTTCTTATCCTCTACTGTTTAAAATTACCAACTTTTATTTATCACAAAACGAGTAGCCACTGAAATAAGGTTCTGCATATAAAAATCAGACACATATCTACACTTGGCAGAAATCAGCCTTACACCAAAACTCCTAGTTATAAGTACCTAATTATTAGATGCTCAGGAAAAACTTGCTAAAGAAACTGTTGGATCACACCAACCTTACTATAAATAGGTATATAAATGAAAGCCAATGGAAGACAAATGAATGATGCAACACTCTAGAACAGGATTGCTCATCTGAGTATGAGTGACAACTAGGGATGAAAAGTTCTTTGTTGAGGGATGCTGCCCTGTCCACTGCTGGGATTAGCAACATCAGTGGTGCCTCCCCCAACTCATGCCAAGCAGATGTGTCTGTGGACATTGTCAAATGTCCCTGATGGGGGAAAGAGGTTCAAAATGACCTCATTTTAGATTCACTCATCAATAGAAAACTCTCTAGGACTCTAAAATTCTAAGCATTATTCTAAACAAACGAGTGATAGCACATTATATTGCTTTCCCCCAGTGTAATCCAGTCTATCTGCATCTCCCTTATATGACAGACCTTGTTTACTGATGAATATAATGAAGTAATTATTCAATAGGAGGTGTGAATAGAATTTATCTCCCTGACACACATGAGTTCTATTTCCTTGTCAAGCTCTGAAGTACAAATCTTTTCATTCTGCAGAAACTAAAAGGGCTAAATACCAAGATATCTTAGGAAATCTGGAATTCAAAAACTTTATTGAAAGGTTGGGTATACCTGTGGAAGGCTCTGATACATCAGGCTCATCTGATGTTGAAGGACTTGAGAAAACATCATAAGTTGCTTTAAAAAATAAAACATAAGATGTTAATTTAGAGATAAATTTTGAAAGATTTGATGACACTTTTTAATGCTGGATGGACAGTTTCATTAGGTACCAGTTGGTTTGGGCTTTGAGGACTGGCTTTGTTCTACTGTGTTAGCAAATATCATCTACTAGGTTTTGGGTGTTTTTATTCTGAGTTGCAGAGTTTTATATAGAAAGCTCTGGCTGGCACTGGTATTCAGGGTAATGTGAACATAGAGCTATATATTTACAGTGAAGTGATGCCAGATCTAATTCAAAGTGCTTCCATGAGTATAAACATGCATAGTCAGAGTGCTGCTTGGAGAGAGACTTCTAAAGAAGCAATCAGCAGTCAGGAACATTGACCCTCTTAATATCTTGCATGTAGACAGGATATTCTCATACTTAACCTTATTAATATTTCTGAGAAATAGATGAGGTATGCATTGTCTTTACTTCATAGGTAATGGGGTGTTATGTCTATTTTCTAGATAATGAAGTTGAGGTTTACAGTAGTGGAGAAGTGTGGTAGCACACACACACTGGAATTGTCAAGTTCAGTACCATTTGCCACCCAATCAACAGGATCAGGGACAGTGGGCCAAGACCAAGCTCTCTTTTGGCACCATTAGTCCTGGCATTTTACTCAGAGGGTGCTTTCTTTCTATTCCTCCATGGAGTTTGTACAATCCAAGTACATTTAGAGATCAATTATGTACTCTGTGAAATGACAAAGTGGAATAAATTTAAACAGAAAGATTGAATTACTTTCAAAGCAGGAATATTCACATAGGCATTTAACCTGGAAACAAAAACAACATTAGAACTTTTTTAATGTACATTGAACTGCCACCCTGGTAAAGTACAGAACACAGGAAATGTCAGGAGGTAGGCATTGCTGTCCTTGCTCTTCAGATTGGCTGTGCAGAAATAAAAAGAAGGGAATTTACAGAAAAATTTACTCCTAGGGTTATTCGCAATTCAATGACAAATTAATGATCCCAAAGCACTGCTAGTTGAAGTTTTCAGAAAGGTAATATTAGACAGTCTAACATATCCAAATGTAGAGAATAGCTTGTTGTACCACATATTGATGATGCAGAAATACATTTTAATTTGTGAGTGTGAGTCTTAATTTACATTCTTTAGAAACAATATTTCAACATGGACACATATTTTGAGAATACATCTACATTGTAATGTAAAGTTTTAAAGAATATGAAGTTAGCCTATCTACAATTTTAAGGAATGGTGAATCTTTTAGAGACAAAGTTGCTTTGACTGTGACATTAGGCTGGCCAGTTACAGGAGGCTTGCATCATGGGTCTAGCAATGTTAGCTCTATCTTCTACTAAAGAAACAGAAAACTATTGAATTGTATTTAAGACTCTCATCCTATCTACAAAATTATGAACATTTCAGTTCTTAAAAAATCAACGATTTTTTATTTCCTTACAAATACATTATATGCACATGTACTCAAGAATAAAGTTCATTAAATGTTTAGAGCTGGCTTCTAAATCACCACTTCCCATCACACACTTGGTAAATAACCAAGAGTCATGAGTGAGCTGACAGAACACAGGACCAAAAACACCAGGTGAAATAGGGAATTTTATTTTTTATAAAAAGCCTCACAGATTTACTTCAAAAAACAAAAATGATTTAAAATCACAGCAAAATTTTACTTTCAGATTTTTCAAAAAAAAAAAAAATTGAAAGAACCTGTACTGCTACTTGTTTTATAATTTCCTAAAATCATATCTGTTAAAATTACATTTTGTTGGTTGCCCATTTTTACTTTGAAAAATAATCAAAGTACAATCAACCTATAATCAAAGTATAATCAACCTATAATCCCAGCACTTGGAAGGCTGAAAACAGGAGAATCACTACCACGCCAATCTACTTAATAAGACTCTGTAGACCTTGTCCTAAATAGAGAAAAAAAGAAAGAAAGAAAGAAAGAAGAAAGAAAAGAAAGAAAGAAAGAAAGAAAGAAAGAAAGAAAGAAAGAAAGAAAGAGAAAGAAAAAGAAGCACAAATCCCACAATGAAAATGCCCTGATATTGCCCACAAAATGCTTCAAATAATTTAAAATTTATAATTTTATTCAAATTCCCTAAATATCAATAACCATTTGAAAATTTTTTTCCTTTCCAACATAAATTCTTACATAAATCATCTCTTTATTTATTCCAGAGTTTGGTACATGGTAGATTTTCAACAGAACTAATTTGCAAAAAGTTCCTTTCAATAAAGAAATTATTACAGTAAAGAAATTATGGACACTTACAGTTTAGGCTCTTTAAAAGGATAAATAACTTGTTTGGGAAAGAGATACGTCCTTTGATTATTTTATAGCACCCAAATATGTTCACACAAATCTCTCCCTTTACTAGGTGAATATATGCTGTAGGTATATTCTACCATGGAAATAGGACTCCAAAAATATTAAGAAGTACTGTAAAAACATAATAAGTAACTAAACAATAAAAACATATCACCAGGGCCCGCGAGATAGCTCAGTGGACTAAGCGCTTGCTTAGGGAAGCACAGGGACCAGGGTTGGGTCCCTGTACCACATGCCATGCCAGCACTGCCCCCAGGAATGCTGAGCTGTCCACTAAGACCCAGCATGGTGGCACACAGCTGTAATCCCAGCACTGGGGAGGCTGAAAGCAGGAGGATCACTGTGAGTCTGAGCTATGTAATGAGACCCTATGCCAAGCAAAAACATTAAAAAACAAACAAACAAACCACCAAACATATAATTCTCAGAACTATTTAAATATAAAAATAATTCTTTCTTAGGTTAATGGGAAGACAAAGCACCTTTCTGTTGGGCCCTGAAATTTGAGAAAGCAATGCTTGCAAGGAAATGTTTATGAAATAAAATCGAAGGCTGATGCTAGAAATCTCTGAAAAAGACATGGAAAATCTGTAAACCATCTGCTATGCCTGAGTGCAGTTTTCTTGCTCTCAAAACTTCAACACCAGTACTCGTTCCTACTCTTTTTCCTATCTAGGGATTAATCTAGGTGGGTGGCCAGATCTGGAATAATCAACACCTCCCAGCATAGGCCATGAGATCCAAGTATGGTTCCTCTCTTTTCAACAGCTCTGAGCAAATTACCTATGGCCAAGACTTTCTAAGGGACTAGCCCCTTGCTGATCATTCCAGCTCTTCAATCTTTAGTGTGTCCATCTTAAGTACTTATTGCAAGCTAGCAAATGTTTTACAAAGCACTGTAAGAATTTAATACTGAAAATAATTACAGCTGACATCCTAAAGAAGCTTCCAAAGTAGATTTTAATGAAAAAACTAAGATCGACTATCCATGTTTGATGCTTTCTCAAGGGAAATCTCTAAATGATAATAATTTATGCTGCAAAGGAAAATAATTTTACTCACAAAGAAGTAGTTTTAGTAATAAGCCTTGGTAAATGGAATAAAAATTCAGTTTGTCTGGATACTTTGGAGGGAAAATAGGAAAAGAGTTACTAAGGATGAAAACAAATGCTTTCAATCATTTTGGGGTTGTGGAGATTTTTTTCATTTGAAGTGGGAAATAAATAATAGTCTTTTGAGGAGATGGTTGAGTAAATTAAGGAAGCTTAATACTGATGGCATTATCAAGGCAGAAATAAATTCATTTCCATCCCATATAGCTATCTAAGTCATATAAGGTCTTTAGAAATCACAGACATGCCTCAATCCAAGGGATGAAAAATACCTTGTGTGCATGCTACTTCCTCCACCGTGGTGCCCATGGAGAAGTTGACTGTGGTATCACTATGTGTACTGAGCCTGCACAGGTCCTTTGCTTTACAGAGTGATTCAGTTTGCCCTAACTAAACTAAACAGAGAGGCTCTCAGATAGTATTTATCACATCAGTCATTAGGCATCAGGACATTAGGCTATTATTCCCAAGGATTTATGGACCTCTGTAATACAGCACATGTCTTTTCTAGTCTTCCTAAAAAGTTTTACACATGTGAAATGAAGACTTATGGGTTGTTCGGTATGCTCACACATATTTGAAATTAGAGTAAACTTTCTCTCTCTCTTCCTTTTATTGAATAATTTAATAAAGTAATTACTATTTTTATTGTTGCAATGATTGCATGTAGCAATTCAGGACATTTTAGATGACAGTATGATGGAAAGGCAATGTAGTCACTGAAAGAATTAGTGCTACTAAAGAAATATCATTGGGGCACCCTTTGTGTGCCATGCATTATATGAACTGATTTATACATAATTTCTAATATATAACCTATTGAAAATTGTATATATTATTTCCTTATAGATGGATACACTGAAGTTCTGATCATTGGTTATTATCCCAGATCTGTCTCACTGTGCAGTTTACAGATTAGCAATCAAATGCATGACGAGAATCAGTTTTAAGGACTAGTTGGCTTTTTAAAGATCATTTGATGTTTCTTATCTACCTATAATGCATGCAGCCCCAATAACATATTTAATTTTCTCCATTGTGAAAGCTATTCTCCAAACCCCAAGGCCAGATATATGGCACTGGTTTACTTTCAACTTAGAGTGTATTGTAAAGATTAGGAAAGAGATAAATGAGTCTAACCTTTGTTCCTCCACCCATTCAAATGTGAGTTCTTCACACTTTTCATAAAAGAAAATAGCTGTCACAAAATAGCTCTGGGAGGATATATGATCATTTATTCATGACTCTTTGAATGTCCAAAAGAAAAGTGCCATACAAACATAAATTCTACTATTTCATTCTTCAAATGATCCAACATATAGAGAATTGATCTGGAGATAGAAGGTATTAAGAGCGTTCCTAGAACTCCTATAGTAACAGAGAGATTGTGGTGAACTGGCGACTTTTAATAGAACCACTTTTATTGCATTATCAGGATGTTTTGAATTGCATTATCAGAAAGATGAACTTTTTCCTGAATAATTGCAACAGCCACATAAATATTTCTAAAATCTGGCTAACATCCTTTTAAATTAAAATTTATAGATAATTTTACCTTCTAGCATGTAGGAATATAGCATATTTTTATGATTTCCTTTGTATACTTTATGGAAAATTGGATTTGCCAAGGAAATCAAAAGTAATCCACCCCACTTAAACACACATTATAGAAGGTTTATATGAAATGTAATTCTAATTCATGACATTGCAAAGCACAGCACTAATGAAAGAGTAGGGTAAGCTCCCTAAAAGTGGAGAAGAATATATTTGATGATTACACATCTCAGATTTCCTGGGATATTCTAAACTTTAAATATCCTGTTTACTATTGCCAAAAACTATTGAAATGACCCAGGGATTTCAACAATCAGTATGCAAGTTAGAATTTCCAAATAGTCTTTTACATAAAAAGTTAGTACAGAGATTTCTCTGAGAACACTCCTGATTTTTTGATTTATAATGTAACATGGCAAACAAATCCCAAAAATGTCAAAGAAAAATAAATTTTATGATAATAAATCATGTTTAATGGTTGATCCAGATAAAAAGCAGCCCCTGGGATCCAGGATTTATCCGGGCAGTCACAGGGTGGCTGTGGCCATCTCCCGCTGACACGCAAATGTTAAGCGTATTCTGTTACATCAGAACTAGAACAGTACTTCTTACTTTGTCACGGTCTTATGTCACTAAACAGATCCCTAGAAAATCAATGAGTCAATTCATAGTTTACTTTATCCAGACTTCTAGGAATATATTCAGAAGGTAAAACATGTTTTTAAACAAAGGCAGAACCATTTTATTTATGTATTAGGAAAGATAAGACTGGGTTAAGTATTAAGAATGTACTACAGGCTTTTCATTTGCCACAGGGTATATTAATAATAAGTTAAGGAGCCTATAAAAGTACAAACAAGCAAATATTTTTCTTATGATATTTAAAAAATATAAAACAAATACAATTACCAGTTTGAGGCTTCACAAGTTTGGAGTCTTCTAATGTTTTAGCTTCAGGTGCCACCCAGGACTTTTCACTTGTTACTATATTGGAAAAGAGTAGAATTTGCTGAATATATAAGAGAAATAAAGGACAGAAGTAGCTTCTGGTATAGCGTAAGTGGCTACCAAAAGACTGGAATGAAAGGCTCCTATGGATTCTACCAAAAGTTATCAAACACTGATAAATCAATATGCACCAGCAGAGAACATCTGACTAGTGACAAGGGTGAAACCAGAGTTTGTGTCATGCTCTTGACATTATAAGGACAAAAAGTGAATCAAATGGATAAGGCTTTTCCTTCATTTTAAAAACTAAACTATCTGTTTGCCTGAGTTAACTGAACTCATTAGTTCATCGTAGCTTACCTAGATAGGACCTAAATGTGTCCTGCAGAATTGAGCGAGTCCTACTTACAAGCTGGGGATGAAGGTGCCCCGCTAGGCAAGGGTCTGTGGATGAACTACATCCCCATCCCACCATCCATATTAACACCAAATATAAGGTATCTGGATTACCGAGGGTAACTCCAGACTTCTCAAAGGGGAAAGATGTCTTTGCTTCAGGAAATCCTGGAAACCTTTTTGGAGCTGTAATCAAATACACAAAGAGAGTTATGACCTGAGATGCAAGTAACCACAACAACAACAAAAATGACTTAATTTTTTTTCCAGACTTCTAAACACAGTAAACACAAGAGGGCAATTATGTCCTATCAAATAATGAATCTTATTAGTATTTCTTCTGTGTTTCAGTGTGAGTTAATAAAATAGATTTTCTTTTTCAACTTTAATATCAAGCTACTAAGTTGGAGGAATTTGCATTTTTCTTTCTCTTATCATACTAGGTTCTCAACTTCTTTAGCTATATTTGTGTGCCTTCTCAAGTATATTTCATTTAAATTCAAACTAAGCACAAAATATATCTGAAGGAGCAAATATTCACCTGATATCTTTTTAAAGTAGAATTTAACTATGTGGATTTATGTATAACCATTTCTTATTTTGACATTGTACCCCCCAAAAAATCTAAAAATGTTAAAGAGGAGTTTCTAGAAATATCTGTCAAGAAAGACAATAGAGTAAAAATTTAGGGAAAGTATCAATGTGTTCAGTAATCTACTGATTGTGAAGGAAAAGAATAAAACAAAAATAGGACCCCAAAAAGCAAACCCATGGGTAGATTTTTCTTTTTTCTTTTTCTCTTTCTCTTTCTCTTTCTCTTTCTCTTTCTCTTTCTCTTTCTCTTTCTCTTTCTCTTTCTCTTTCTCTTTCTCTTTCTCTT